ATATCTAACTTGTCATTGGGACCAGTTATCTACCTGCTTGTGCTCTCTACTCGCTATCTCTGTCATCTCTGTCGTTGTCTCTGCTAGTCGACTTCTACCGCCGTTGCTTCTATAGTCTTAGCGTCTAGCGCTTTAGGACACACCCCAGCAGAGCTCAAAGAACTTGAGGCGATTTCGATGGATGTAAGAAGGAAGGAACTGGATAAATATGCCGGTGAAGTACCCCAGCCCTGCAGCTTCGCGACTTTATCAGCTTGAGCAGCAATTGCGTTCCCATGACATTTCAATCTGTTGTGTTTCGTTTTTGCCAGCATCAAATCTCGCATGATCTCGCACAGTTGTTAAACCTCCGGAAACATGATGATTTGAGTAGTGAATCATGATTGATGCCACTTTTGAGGAACAGGAGTTTCTCGTCCGATGGAAGAATTGAGTCAAGACAGGTGAGGGAGACAAGTTGATCAGTGCCCACTGAGACTTTGTGTTATCAGCCGGGCATGAAGCTTTGAATTAGGACAAGTATGTCGTTCCTGAGACCAAGATAGAATTTTGGATAGATTTTGATGGGAAATTTGAGGTGCACAGTGATGCGAGTTAACCAGCTGAGTTTCCGTCTCTGTAGCGATGACAGATGGTGGTCGTTTTGGGCAGAGGGAAAGACTGACTAGCGATAGCGGACCTTATAGAGCCAGCCGGCCCGAACTTAGTATGTCCTCACACACAGACCGTCTACCGGAAGCCAGAGGCATCAAAATCAATTCATCAACTCTCAGTCTCGACTCATCTGTTGGTCCTAATCTGAACTTCATGTTGGAAAAATTGATTGCAGCCTTGTGTGATAAACGGCGACTGATTACAAGACAACCAGTACTACCGTCCATTTTTCTGACTCTCGTAACAGCACATGGAGCTTCCTGAACAAAACACGAATTCGGCAGAAAGAACGCAGTTCCAAGCCTGCATCAATACAATTTGCCATACTAATAAATAAATATATAGATAAAGGACTCAAAAACCCAAGTATTGGGCAGAAATCAAGCTCAGCTCGACCTCCTTCCACCAGGCGCCTCCAAGAATCTCAAATCGTCCCCTCATTAATCGGATCCTCCGCCCCACCCGGAGCCAAAACCACCCACGGACACTGTTCCTCCTCTGGCACAAACTCCGAATTCTTAATAATCTCCACCACAATCGGCACCTCACTCGTCTGATCAATCGGTACCCCCAAAATCCTCCACCCTTCCTCAATCGGCATCCTCTCCTCCCGGAAGAACACGTCCACAAACCTCTTTGGTGCCACACCCAGCTCATCACTGCTCATGACCATGAGGTAGAGCAAAGACTCCCGTGAGCGGACTTGAAGCTCTTTAATCGTACTACAGAGTTTTGGGTTTGTGGATTTGGACTCTTCCAACCGGGTTTTTTGGACTTGACCGGCGGATGTGGCGTTGTAGAAGTCGACACCGGGGTTGGAGGTGGAGAGGGTTGTGAAGATGGATTCGTTGAAGGGGATGTGGTCTCCGAGGTTGCAGTCAAGACGGGAGAGGGAGGCGTCGTGTTCGATGTTTCCGTGTCTAACAAAGTGAGTGAGTGGGTGAGTAGTTGGTAACTGGGGAAGACGACGTACAGGCCAATATCAGCGAGAGAGAATTGGTTGTCAAGAGGTGAGGTCAAGAGTGCGGCTTTGGCGGCGAGGAGTACCATGTTCCGTTGAACATTGAAGCCGTCTGGTTTAGGAGTTTCGGAAAAATGAGTACACGCAAGTAGTGAACAAGTTGAACTCACCGTTAGACGCTTGCAGAACCATCGGGATTGTGATGTTATTGCCATTACGAGGGAGGAATCCGTGGTTTGCCAGCCTACAGAAGGGGTTAATTCAGTCAGTACAATGTTTGTGTTATGGAAGTCCTACTCACGTATTCAACCCAGGACACGGACTCCTAGCATCAGTCTCTGTAGGAGCTTGGAACTGATGTTGGGACCAGTCGACCATGTTGTGAGGGTCTCCGACATCAACATTATCCCGGCGTCCGAATTGGCTGGGGATCGCACTACCAAGAACATTCGTAGTAGACGAGAGGCAGAAAAGAGTGAATATAGAGGAGTAGAACTTCATAGTCAAGTCGTAGTCGAAAGAAGTAAGAAGTGATTATTTAGTAGAAAAAAAGTGATTGAGTACCCGGACTGCTGTACCTCGATGATAAACATGGTCTTATATACCTCTAGAGTCCTTTGAGCTCAACGTGGCTCCTGGATTCGGTTACCGACCTCTCTGACACCCCGCAGTACTGTGGCAGAGGGGAGATCGCCAAAAGTGCAACAACCTACATGGCTAACACGGCTTTGCGTAGCAAGACCGAGTACACTCGCAACGACTTTGCGGCATTCAGTCACCAAGATCACCCAATAGCTCAATTTCTCACTGGGAGCTCAGGAGGTTCATAAACTGAACCTATCTCCCGAGTCAACCTTATGGGCTAGTAACAATCAAATTTGATGTTCCCGACCTAGTTTCCGCAGGCCCTCTACACAGCACAGATCTATAGACCATGTGCATTGCATCACCAGCATGGTCCAAGCCGCAAAAGATCATCATGTACAACTCTCAATTGGCACAGGTTATGGGCTATAATGCCATCAACCGAGCAACCATCACAGTGAATGTGACATATTCAAGAAGCTTGCCTGTGTGCCATTTTGTTTATTCCACACAAACGCCATGCTCATTCGACTGGCACAGACCGGTAGGGAAAATGGTGTGGACCGGTGGTGTACAAAAATACTGGAAGGAGCTATACACCGTTCGGGAATCGAACCCGAGCCGCTTGCTCTATCTTTTTGAAGGTTTATGGAAGGCAAGCATGATAACCACTCCACCAACGGTGTCACAATGATAATCTCGGCAATCCCAAATATGAATGCAGATTTGGTCATGCGGCACGCCTTCGTACGCTACCAGTACCCAGTCTCTTCAGTTTCGATCGACTCCTCCACGATCTCTTCTGATCCTTTTCTCAGCATAGCCTGATTCACGCGATCTCGTCCCAACTTACAAGATACGGTGCTCGACATGCTCACGTTCGGTTGAAGTTTTAGCATCCTGGGCCTAGGGTGGGTTCTTGAATGCTTTTTTTTTCGATTGCATCACCTTCATAATTCTTCTCAACCACCCGGTTCGCAGGTTGCCCAACGAAAACGAGTTTTCCCTTACATTTGAGAACACTTGATCCTCCATTTACGCATCGCATGGCTCCGCAAAATGCGCTTCCCAAGATCCTCTGCTACTGAGTGGGGTTCACGAGGTGCTGGTGAGCTGCAATCTTCGAAGGTGCGATTTACCAACCAGCCTCTGACTCCTTTTAAACAGTTCGCCACGTACGATCCAATTTGGCGATTGAGGATCTACAGTCTGTATCAGTTATACGGATAGCGAACTCTTACCAAGACAATTTTACTTCAAAAAATCCGCGTTGGAAGGTCATTTGGCAACATACACCTCATGTCTTACCATCCTACACCATCCAATTCCGTTCAGATTTCTTACCCCTCACCTCGTCAATATGTTACCTCTACGTCCTCTTTTCGGGAAATTGAAGACCAGACCTCTCGATAAGAGAGGGACATCGACACCCATATCGTTTTAGATCACTTCTCTCCCTCAAGCGGTCTTCCGTTTGGCTGGCTTTGTCTTTGTGGGCTTCGGTGGAGGGGGAGTTGTCGGTCAGGTGGCAGGAATGGATATCGCAGTTCGCTTTCGAGAAAGGGCTTGGGGCGATGGTGAGGGTGAGAGAAACTCTAGACGCAGAGTAACGGCATTCTCTGTGGACGGTAAACGAGAGGGGGCTGAGGAAGGGAACGGAAGCGCTCCGAGTTCTGGAACGAGAGAGGGGGCAACCTTCGTGACGTGTACCACCCAGTGAGTAGTTTTGCCTTCAACTTATCGCAACCGTTTTCTGTTCGTACCTCTGCCCCATCCTTCACCCCCTCTCCTTTTATCTCTTCACTATCTGCATCAGAATATGGACTCACCGTCGTCTTGTAGCATCAACTATTCACACCGTGCCCAACCAATCGTTGGAGGACACGAACCTCCTTTACTCTGCTATCGTTCAAGCTCCGACTTAAACAACATATGTGTCTCTTCAGTATCCACTGATAGGCCTGCACCTAACCCTCTCCTAGTCACACAGAGGCGAACAATCTCGCCTGGAGTAACTTTCTCCCCAACGACGGCTCCTCTCGAATCAACTGGAACGTTGACTGCCCCCCTGAAATTCATCGGTGAATCAGGCTGAAGCGTCAGAGTGAGCCGTTATCGGGGCTGGGGGGGAAGGAATTTCTGAGGAAGAGGGAACAGCGCCGAGAACTGTAGGTAGATGGAGGAACTTGGGAAAACGGACCTCGTCTTCGTATGTTCCTGATATCTCCAAATTCATTCTAGGCTTGTGTCGACATCCAAACAAACAAAGTTCCTCTCCATACTGATAGTGCGGTCTGATTCTGGTTATCATCATTCCGCAGCACGCACGTTAGAATCACATCGCGCCTATCTAACAAGCTCAGAGCGCGCTTTGTTGAACCTGAAACGCGTGCCTTTATATGGGTTTGTCGAAGGGCGGGTTCCGCAGCTGCTGCGCTTTTCATCCGAGATGGATGTCAAATGATATTGTTTCGTCTTGCTCGCGCGGAACACATCTATCTCCAGATTGTGATAAACAGTATTTGGGCTCAGTACTATGCAATGTCTTTCTTCATCCCCTGAACTGACAGAAAAGTTTTTCGCCCAGCTCGATATCTAGACTTCGAATCCTCGTCAGCTGAGAACGCGACCACCCAGGGAAGGTCCCAACTCTACAGCTCTCCGCAGCAGCACGCGTAACTTCACCCTGTTCAAAAAGACCTCATGACGGTCTTCCCAATTCAATCATCTTTCAATGATTCCTGTTGAGCTGAGAACAGGTGCCACCATCGTATAAAAAGTAACCCCACGCATTGTTGATCTCTTTTTCTCTAGGCACCTGCCCCCCATCTTCCTTCCAAAAAACGAAACGAAACGAATACTCACGACCGAAACCATGGCACTTGCTCCTGCTCAAATCCGGACGATACTTTATTGCAAGTCCCCAGTTCTTTTATTAAACTTAGCTCTCTCTTATTTTCTCACTACGGCGGCTCTACAGCTTTGATCATCTTCTTTGCCCTGGCGGTAGACGCTATCGCATCGCTAGGCTTTGCGACAGCCTCTCAGTACCCAGGACCTACGGGTCTCGTTATCAGGAGGTGGTTTATAAGTCAGTTTTTCATCCCCTTTTTCAGTAACGCCCGACTGAACAATGGGCTCTTACTTACCACTTAGTGGGACTTCACTGTGCCACTCTTCTATTTGCCTTCTTCACCTGGGTATGGGCTAGTATTTTGTACGTATATATCGCTCCCTCCTCGTTGTACGTTTGAAAAGAATCAACTAAATCCTGATTTCTGTTCTCCCCCCGGTCAGGCTCGCATACAACCGCCGTCCATCGTCCACTCGGAAGAGCATTCTCACACAGGTAAACGTCAATTTCGTCTTTACTTTCTTGTTGTATATTGCGTTCATCGGTAAGTCTCTTTCTCGACAACCACAAAATCAAAACCTACCCTTCCCTTCCACACTGCACAGTAATGACAGCACTCAACCTAACCTTCGTCGGAATCAACTGTTCGATGGATCGCGCATTTGAGTGGCAAGATATGTGTGATTTCAATATTGGCGCTGGTGCTCTTATGGGTTGTTTATTGTTATTGCGTGAGTTCCGGACCCCTACTACGCTCGATCTGTGAAAACTGACCCTGAATTTAAATACCCAAGTCGGAGTTCTAGCGCTGTACATCAATGCCCGAGCTACTAGGAAGATCGCTTCCTTGGATATCAGCGATCTGGATGATAGTGATCCTAGACAGTTGTAAAGTGGGCAGTTGAAGTGACCGATATCGTTGTGGGGTCTGGGATGAAGAACACGGAGAGAAGTGATTGGTATTACGATTTCAATGATATCCATGTCAAAGTAGGTACTACTCGCTACGAGTTCGAGGAGGTGCCTTCATATCCGAGCCATGACCTAGGGGACTGTCCGTACCTACGCGACATGTGGTGTCAGTGAGCGTTCCCGGAATATGAGTGATTCTTTCCCGGCGTTCGATATCCACTCTCATGCAAGCGTGGATACTTGTCACTGTTACACAAATAACAATCATCTTGATCATATTATCGTATTTTCCACAGAAGGACGGAACAACGATGGTATATCTGCAGGTGATAAAGAAGAATACATGATGAATTGAACACGACTGCGCTAGAAGAGAGTAGATACAAAACCCCCAACGTACAAACGAAAGCCTGGGGTCACTTCCCAGCCATGACCTAGGGAGCTGTCCGTACTCATGCGACGTGTTCGACTTGTTGCAGGTAGGTGTCAGTGAGCGATTCTTTCCTGGGGCTCGATATCCACCCTTAAGCCTATGTACGTGAACGAGCAGTTGTTGCTTTTGCACAATAACACCCTTCTCGGCCGTATTATCGTATCTTCATAGAAATGAGCAACGAGGGTACATCCACAGGTGGTACAAAAGAGAAAAAATAGACAATGAGAACACGACGGAAAAGTAGATCCAGAACCCCCAACGTACAAAAAAAAATTGGGCCCGGGGTCACTATGTCTCATGCGGCTGAGAGTCCGACTCGTAGAATCTCAGTTCAGCTGTGTACCTGAGTATGGCATCTACCAGGTCACGCACAGTGGCGCCTAAAAGGCTGTGATCAGCTTTGAGGAGAAAGCACTGGGGGGACTTAGTACAGATGCAAGTGGTCACTTTGGGGATCAACGACTGAATTAAGGTGACGGTGACAGATTAGACAGGCAAGTCGGGCGTGACGCGTGAGTTACCCCCGCCTGCACCTATATAAGACCACCCCAATTATCGACCCATGTCGAACTATCTTTCTTCAAAACCACCACCATCACCCCTCCGCCCTTTGATTCCCCCCAACCCCTAGCCTAGCTCTTACGAAGGGTAAGAGAACACGTTTGAGTCTCGAGACTCCGGACCGTCAGGTGAGGTCGCCGGGGAAAGGCATACGTCTTGTCGATGCTACGAGGCTGACCTGGGCGTAGAAAATCCAATAAACTCCCTGCACAAGGCAGATCGCGATGTCCACCACCCTGTCTCCTCAATATTCCGTCCGCTCTCCACCATCCGATGCGCCACAAGGACGTTTGAGAGAACGATGCGTCGAGGACTCTCGTAGTGCCACAGAGTCATCTCAAATAGTATCTGGAGCCCCAACCACGGTTGGAGAGCACTGTGAGATGTCCCAAGCAGCGACGGAGGCTGACTGCTCATTGCGGTCGACGTCCAAAATGCCCGCGACAACGAGCACACCTCTCCCACGTTTTCCTTTTTCGGAAACCCACGAAGCGGACGATACAGAATTACACCCTCCTGTGCTTTGTCGTTGGCGACCTATTCCTCTCCCTCCGCAATACAGCACCGATGTGGCACTGCATCGGTTGCTTCTGTCTCCTCAAGAAGTGGGGCTACATTGGGACCTCCTGTGGTCACATCAAAGCGTAGAGAACGAGCTAGAGGATCATTGGAAGGTATTGAAAGACCCAGCTACATTCCTTGCACTCCCTTCGATGACGGTGGTCCACCATTGGCTACCATGGCCAATCACAGTTCATGCCTCTGGCCTTGACTCGAGAGGAGTGACCGTCGTGGACGTACTCGCAACGATCTCAAAGGAGCTCCTATGACCAGTTGGAGAGGAGAGGAATCGAATTAGAATTGACTTTTTGCGGGGTCGTAGGATATTTCTTGGGCTGAAGGCCAGTCGACTTGGAGGGGAT